ACATACAAAGCCACTCTTCAGTGACCAGTGCAATCTCCCACTCAACACTGACAACCTGAAGGTACAAACAATTGGCACCAAACCACTCACTCTTCAACAGCAACCCTGAAACTAAAGCAAAGCCAGAGTAACCTCCTACCACACCCTAACTCAGTCCTTATTAGTACAACTCTGACACAAAATCTTCTTACAGGCAAAGACATCTGTAAACCAAGCAAGTGTAAAATGATAAAAAAACCCCAACCCACACTGCATGGAAAAATCCCAAAGGATTAGTGTCAGAAAATATTTGGCAACAAGAGATTGGAAAAAAACATGAAGGTCTAACAGAAGAGTGGCTACACCAGTCACTGCAAGGAAGTTGTTGAAGCAGGTCTGCTGCAGGACGGTTTTGTTATTCAAGCTTTTCATCTCCTTCCTCCACATCCTTCAGACTGAGCACTTCCAGGGATCCTTTCCCTTTTGTCTCACTGCGGATCAGCTCGTCGATCTCCCTGAAGCAGCCTGGGTCAATAAGGCACACCTGGAATGTTCCACATTTCATCAGTCAGCCAAGAATGTTTGAATTGCATCAGCCCCTACCCAAGCCTAACATTCACTTCCATTAAAACAATCCTGGTTAGTCACTGAGGAGGATTTTGAAGAGCTGACAAGCTATGTCTGGCAGCAATCTTTCCACAGACCTCTACAGTTCCAGTTCCCCATGCTGGACATGGCTTTTGCCAGTTGGGATTGCATGGATTCTAATCTGTTCATATGAAGATTTTAATACCAAATTTTGCTTTAGCACACACTGACTTAAAAAAAAAATTAACCACTCTTAAAATCCAGACCCAAGTCACCAAATAAATAACAGTAACATTTCACATACGAGACAAACTTATCAGTGCCGCAGGATCATCACTGCTAAGAGGAATTGCACTGTGCACTCCTCAGCTTGGAGCAGCAACCTCTGGATACCAAATGTTGCTTCCGTGCCCACATCACTACGATTCTGTGCAATTAAAAATTCCCAACTGCAGTTCTGATTAAGGATCTTTGGTAAGCCTGCAGCTTATCTAAACAACTTCCATCTATGAATTCATCTCCTAGCAAGTGTGCAAGTGTAGTTCAAATCAAATCTGAACCCCAGAGACTGCTTTTTACTTACCATTTCCAGCTGCTCCTGGAAGTCTTCACTCTCAGTAACTTTAATCAGTGGCTTGAGTTTCTCTTTCAGCTTCTTGCCTTCCTTTGCTGGCAGGATAAACCTCAGCCTCATGTGAGCACGTTCAATCTGCATGGTCTCCTTCAGCTGCCTGATCACTTCCAGGGCCTGTTGGACAAGAAAAAGAGCATTTGCACACCTGCTTAAAACCCAGCACCCAGATCCAAATCTTGAACCTTTTCCCCAGCTTCAGAGCCATCTCTCAGTGCTGGTCACTGCTGCTGTGCTGCAGGGAGTATGCTGTCGTGCTCTTTTGACAGATTAACAAGAAAAGGCAGACATCTTGTTGTTTGTGATCACTTTGAACACTTAAAAGCTGTCTGAAATAAAACTAAATAGCTATACTGCAAAATGCCACAAACTCACATGGCTCAGATGCAAACCTGATATACCACCTCAATTAGCATAAATAATAAACCTTTCATTTCTGCTCTAACTGTATCACTATTGGGTTTTTTCCTTTCTTTCTCCCTTCCCTGAATTCTCAGCAAACAAATTGCCTGAGTTTCAGGAGCTGTTTCTCTCCAGCACTCAGCTGCCAGATGGCTGAGTAATCCCTGTGTGGGCCTCAGATCCTGGGGCTCTGCTGATCCCTCTGTGGCTGAGAGCTGGGGAATTACTGGATGGCACCAACTCGGAGCAGGAAACTCACCTGCTGCTTTGTGCTCTTGTTGGGTTTGACAGAGTAGTGAATGTCCTTCATGGCCCTTTCGATGAGGATCACTGTGTAGGGCCGCTTTGTCTCGGGGTTCACACACTTGTCAGCCACGATGGTGGCGATGTCCCGGAACATCTGCTCCAGCTGTGTGTGCCGCTCCTTGTCCGACACCTGCAGCTCCCCTTTGGATAAAATCTGTAAAACAGGGAAATCAGTTAATGAACATTGTAACTTTGTTAAATTTGACAGCTGCTTGAAAGGCTAGGTGAGATTTGAAGTGCAGCAAACAATAAACCAAATTAATAATGTGAATCATTGGAATAGACAGCATTGGAAAGGCTTCAGACAAAAAAACTCACCCCAGAAATACTAAATTGCAGTGAGAGAAGCACAGATTTCACAGAATATCTTGAGTTGGAAAGGACCCCAAACGGCCAAGCCCTGGCCCTGCACAGACACCCCAACAATCCCACCTTGGGCATCCCTGGCAGCTCCTGGAGCTCTGGCAGCCTCGGGGCTGTGCCCATTCCCTGGGGAGCCTGGGCAGTGCCCAGCACCCTCTGGGGAAGAACCTTTCCCTAAAATCCAAACTAAACCTGCCCTGGCACAGCTTCAGCCATTCCCTGGGTCCTGTCCCTGTCACACAGAGCAGAAATGGGAGCTGTCCCTCGGGAGGAGTTGCAGATCCTGATGAGGTCTGACCTCAAGTCTCCTCAGGCTGAACAAACCAAGCGCCCTCAGCTGCTCCTTGCGTAGCCACTCCAGGCCCTTCATCTTCTTTGTAGCTTTCTTTGGCCTCTGACAGCTTTAGATCTTTCTTATATTGCAGCACCCGAAACTGCCCCAGCACTGGAGGTGAGGCCACCCCAGCCCAGAGCAGAGCAGGACAGTCCCCTCCCCAGCCTGGCTGTTGATGCTGGGCCTGGTGACCTCAGGAGAGAAACGTCCCTACTGGCTGTCAGGGCAATACTGACTCAAGAGATTTACTGAAATCTCATCACCCACAGCAAGTCCACAATTCATATCCCACCAGTAAGGACTAAGAAATTAGAACTGTTACTAACACCTAAATGAACTTTCCAAAGCAAGCAACTGTCCCCTTGCTTTCTCTGCATTCTTAATAACTTACCTTATGTGAAGAACTGTTCGGAGCTGGCTGTGTCCAGACACATCAGTGTGTGCAAGTTGTGTGTTAGACAGAATTCTTTACAGCCACATGCATATACCCAAATTTAAACTACAAAACAGAGCTACTACTCCTTTTTACCCATTTCTTAACAAACAACCCTTTCACCTATAGCAGCATTCTATAAACACCCTTCAGTACAAACTGCGTGACTAAATCTTTTCGCATCTTTTATAGAGCAAAGTGTATGAAACCTACCATCTTACAGATTTCTGTTTGGTCATCTGTTCCAAATGCTTTAACCAGATCTTCCTTCTTCGCCACCTGGCCTTTGGAGACATTAACAAACACCGTGTGTGTCTGCAGGACCTCATCGAGATCTTTCTCCCTAGAGATTGAGACAAATGTAGAAAACTCAGAGTAATCGCAAAATGGTGCCAATGCCATCCCTGCCATGGGCAGGGACACCTTCTACTATCATAGGGTGCTCCAAGCCCCAAAGTCCAATCTGGCCTTGGACACTGCCAGGGATCCAGGGGCAGCCGGTGCGACGGCTCCCCACCCTCACAGGAAACAATTCCTTCCCAATCTACCCATCCCTGCTCTCTGTCAGTTTGAAACCATTGCCCCTTGACTTGGCGTCGCCCGAAGCCCCTCTCCAGCAAAGCAGCAACGCCAGGAGCACAGCTGTGTCCAGCGATCCCGCTGCCGCGGGCTGAATCAGCCCGGCCAGAACTTTTCAGCACGGAGGTGTCGCTGCCCAGGCATGGGCACGGTGCTCCCGTTATCGGCCCCGGGTCAGATCCGGGGAGCGGGGCCGCGCACGATCCCCGGCCCCACAGCCGAGTTCCCACACTGCGGGTTCCCCTCCCACACCCCGACCTTTCCCGGCCCTCACACGGGCTCTTGTTCCGCGTCAATACCGAGTGCCCACACGGGGTACCCGGGTAGGATTCTCTCACACCCGGGTTCCCCACACGGGCCCTTCCCTGGGCCCAACACCGGGCCCGAGCCGCCTCCCCGCCGGCTCCCCAGGCACTCACGCTCCGCTGCGCCAGCCCATGACCTTGTTACGGTAACAGGCAATCTCGAAGCGCTTCCCGGCGCGCCGTGCCCGTACCACGGCCACATTGGTGAGGCGGATCTGGTTGGTGGGGGTGAAGATGGACATGGCGGCGGCCGCCCGCTCCGCCCCCGGCACGGCCCGGCAGTGAATGGCGGCGCGGGCGGAAGGGGCGGGAGCGGCGCATGGCGGCGTGAGGGGAGCCAGGCAGGGAGCGGGGTCAGTGCCGGGACGGGACGATGGCGGCTGTGTGTGAGAGACAGAGAGCCATGACGGGGGGAATAGAATAACCGTGTCTGTGGGGTAATAACTGTGTCCGTGGGGGCAGTTACCGTGAGGGGGCATATAATAACCATGTGTGTGGGGTAATAATGTGTGTATGGGCTAATAACCGTGAGGGGGGATGTAATAAATGTGTGTGTGGGGTAATAATGTGTGTATAGGCTAATAACCGTGTTTGTGGGGTAATAATGCGTGTATGGGCTAATAACCGTGAGGGGGAGATACAATAACCGTGTTTCTGGGGTAATAATGTGTGTATGAGCTAATAACCGTGAGGGGAGGATATAATAACCTCGTGTGGGGGATAATAACGTGTGTATGGGCTAATAACCATATAATGACTATGGGCTAATAAGCAGGGGGGATATGATAACTGTGTGTGTGCAGTTCTAACTGTGAGAGGGTGCTGTGGAGGGAGATGAGGGTAATCACCGTGGGGTATTTATTAACCATGAGTGGTGTACAGGGGTAGTAACTCTGTGGTGGGGAGGTTAATAGTTGTGAGGGTGGAAGGATGATAAGTGTGAGAGGCAGGGGAAGGTGGGATAATAACCTTGAGGGATATTTGGGGAGAGAGGGGCATTAACCATGAGAGGAGGAATAACCATGAGGTGGGGTGTGTGGGGGGGGGGTAGTAACTGTAAGGGGGGGTGTGTAGTTGTGTAGGGAATAATAGCAAGTGTGTGTATATGTGTGTTTTGGAGCTGAAATTCTCTTGAATATATGTAGCATCTATTGCATTTGAGAAAATTGTATAGATGTGAAGGGAATCCCTGTAGCTAGTTTGGGTAAAATTGGGAACACCGGGCTAGTGCTCTTGGCTCTTCTCTTTTGTGAGTCTGTCTCAGTGTTGCTGCTGGAAGAGTGAAGGACATCTCCTTAAGCCTTTGCTCTGCTAACTTGAGTAACAGCCAGTAGGAGTTTCTAGCCTCTTGGAAATACTTGGGTTCTGTGCTCTCAACTGATATCTGCAAAAACAGGATCTAAGCTGCAGATGACAGTAGGAGGGTGTCAGCTGTGCTCCTCAGTCAATAAGTATCACAAACCAGCCTTTTTGGAATGCCTGAATATTCCATATGAAATAGATATTCCCAGACATCACAAGTGTGCATTACTGGCTGTACCCTGGCTTACTGTGCCCTGAATGTTCTGAACCAACCCGAAACATCTCAGTGGTTCCAAATCAAACTACATTTGCATCATAGAATTCTGTGAAAGCATTTCCAATTGCATCCATGTTTCAGTCTGCCCTTGAAACTCTGTTTGTAATCAGTGTGACATCTAATATGTGTAAGCAAGGGTTGTGTTCGGCAGAAAATTCTGTGCATATGATTTCTCCCTTGGACTGTAGCTTTCTCATTCTAGAGAGCTGCATTTGTTTGGTTTGTGTAAAACTAAAGCCATGATCCACTGGATGCTTCACGAGGACTTTTTCCTTTCAGGCATTTGGACAGCACAAGTATTTTCTGCTTATCCTTGTAACAGAGCTGCCTTATCAAGGAAAAGCTCAGTTTCCCTCTGGCAGTATGGAATGCTAGTTTGGAGCTCAGCTGACACGCCTGAGGGGGTGAAGGCTTCTTGATTCAATTTTAGTGCCTTGTCTTGAGCCAGAAGCTGTTTTCTGTAAAGCCTGGGCAATAGCTGGTGATGTGAGGCTGTGGGTACTATGTGTGATTATTTTGTGTGTGCTCGTTCCATATTCACTCTGTAGGAATCTGTGACATTCCAGATTGAGATGTCTCAATGGATACTTGGAGCTACTTCCATACTTGCCTGGTGTCCATATGGCTGCACAGATTTTACATCTATTCTGCTGTTGCTTTTGGGATCAGCCTTTGGATTGTCATTCAGTTCACCACCACCAGAACCAAAAGAAAGGTAACTGAGCCTGTCAGCACTTCTCTCTGAGAAAACCCCAAAAACCTGGATGGAAGTGAGTTAATACTGGATAAAGGTACCTGCTGTGGGCCTGCTGAGGGTGTTGCAAATCACAAATGGAGTTTGGTTATGTGGTTATGATCCTCAGCCTGGATTGTTTGTGTCTGTGTGTCACTAAATGCTCTTGTTGCTCTGACGTTGGGGCAGAGCTCAGCAGGACACTCCTCACACTATTCCTGGGAGAATGTGTCACTCCACGTAAACCCCTCTGCTTGTGCCCACTGTTTGCACCTTCATGTTTTCATGATGCTAATGGCAGGGTCGGGCTGGTTTTGAGATGGGAGGGAATTAGACAATTGAGGAACTGAAAACCTGGTCATGGAGGTGGGTAAAGATCTGCTGCAGGACTTTAGAGGTTGAGCTGGATCCTGTTACCTCCAGGTCCTGGTGTGTTTGTCTGGGTGTGAGAGGAACCAAAATGCTTTGACTGTTGTTGAGAGTGGCCCCAGGATTTGAATTTTAAATGCTCTTGGTTTGACAGCCTTTGGAGAAGGGACTGCATGTGACAGCTCTTTTTCGTAGGGTGAGAAATCCCATGGGAATCCCTCTTCCCCCGAGGGAGCAGCAGACAAATTGGGAAATGGATGTGTCCCCCCTCAGGCACTGGAGGTCCATGTTGCTGGAGTGAAGATTTTCTATGGCTCTCAGACTGGCACAGCAAAGGTATCTGTACTTCTGTTGCACATCTGTGAAGTTGCTTTGAAATATTGTCGTGATCCAGGAACGTCGCTTCTGTGCCCTGGGTACAGATCTGAGAGCTCATCAGCACATTCATTAGCTTGTTACAATCATTGCCCAACATGAAAGATAAGTGAAAAATTAAATAAAAATAACAATTTTCCTCCTCCATTTAAGCAAGGTGTGCACTAGAGATTGATTATAATGCTAAAAGTTCACTCTTGCACTATAATTTTAATTTTCTAGCAAGGCTTCATAGAGAGAAGTGCTGGTTTTGGTGCTTTCTCAAGAAGAAATGTAATTTGTGTGTGTAACTATGAAGTGATTAGTCATTATAATGTTGTAGCTCTTAGCCAGTATAATCTATTTTTGTTTTAATGTGAGGAATTGCAGTGGAAGTGTCCAGGCCTCCTGTGTCATTATTCTTCCTTTCCTAGGAGAAGTCTTGTGGCTGAGCACAGCAGGGCTTGTATGGTTTGAAGTAATGGATAACTTCTTATGTTTCTTTGTTCAGAGATTTGCCAAAGCTCTGGCTGAAGCTGTTACTTCTTTTAATTTGCCTGTGGAAGTCATTAACATGGGAGATTATGATCCAGAAGATGGTTTAGTGGAGGAGGTGGGTATGGCATAAACACCAGTAATAAGTACAGGTTTTTTTCTGGAGTTGTCAAGGCTGTTTCCCTCTTGTGTTTCTCTCCTGTTCTGGAAATCCCCAAAGCTTTGTGTTGATTTGCTTCCCTACCTACACAAATGTAGCCCATGAGCCCACAGCAGAAAATAGCTAAATTTTGAGAATTTCAAAGCACCAGTTGGACTATAACAGTGACTGTATGAACCAGTTCTGTGACTCAGGGGTGAGCTGGGTGAGAGTGGCTGCCCTAGGAGCCCTGTACACCTGGGCAAGGTTCAGAACCAGAACAGGAAGGTGGTGATGCTCTGCAGCCTTTAGAAGCTTTTAAGTTAGAAACTCCTTATGAGGTGTATTTATGTGCAGTAATCCTTGATGGGTTTTTCTTCTGTGAATATTGATAGTTGCTGCTTGAGAGTTTCAATTAATCCTAACAAAGTTTTGGTGGGAACTGCATGCTGGGAATTCCTTAGAGTTTCAGTATGAATTGCTGGCATTTGATACTGCCCCTAACACACCTGTAAATGTGAGGTTGAGGAGTTTGAAATATTTATCCATGGAGCACTTCCTTGCTGAAGCAGTTGGGTGAGGAAGCTGCTGATGGGGCTGGATGTCCAGTTTTGTTCTGTCACTGTCCCTGTTCAGCTTGACTTCTCTCTGCTAATTTAAGGTGCTGTGCAGATTGTTCAGCACCCTTGGGATTGTCACCTGCACCATCCCACCCCAAAAGGAGACAGCCTTGTCTTTTGATTTCTCCCAGCTGCCTGGGTGTTATAACTCTTTGCTTTAAAAGAAAGTTCTGGAAAATGCAGTGATTTCTTTTCTCTCCTGCCCCGTTTGTGTGACCAGACGAGCAGCAGGAGCATCTGTGTGTTCCTGGTGGCCACCTACACCGATGGGCAACCCCCGGAGAGTGCAGCCTGGTTCTGCAAGTGGCTGGAAGAGGCAGCCAATGATTTCCGTGTTGGGAAAAGCTTCCTGCAGGGCCTGAGATATGCTGTGTTCGGGCTGGGGAACTCTGCCTATGTGGATCATTACAACACAGTGAGTGTCCCCGAGCTCCCTGCTCGGCTTCTGCTCCCTTAGAGACTCAGCTGCATGAAGTGCATCAAACCTGAATGAGGCTGGTGGTCTGTGTGGGAGTTGCAGCTGTTGTGCTCACTGTGTGAGGCACTGACTTTAGGGCATGGGCAGAATCTCAAAGCCATTGAGCTTGGGTAAAACTTCCAAGATCACTGAACCCACCCTATACCTGCACCACCTTGTCCCCAGTCCAGAGCACTGAGTGTCACAACCAGCTCTTCCCTGGGCACCTCCAGGGATGCGGATTCCAAACCTCCCTGGGCAGCCCCTGCCATGGCCTGACCACCCTTTCCATGGGGAAATTCCTGCTGCTGTCCACCCTGACTTCCCCTGGCACAGCCTGAGGCTGTTCCCTCTCCTCCTGTCCCTGGTCCCTGGCATGTGCCATGCAGCTGATTGGCTCTTCCCAGGGCTGATCCTTGCTTTTCTGGTTGGCTTCTTGCACTTGGCCCTGGTTTAATTTCCTTTCCAACCCTTCCTCCTGCCCTAGGTTGGAAGGAGGATGGACAAGTGGCTGTGGATGCTCAGTGCCAGCAGGATCATGACTCGGGCTGAAGGGGACTGTAATGTGGCCCAGAGCAAGCATGGCAGCATCGAGGCTGACTTTGAGGCCTGGAAAGGCAAATTCCTCACTCGGCTCCAGGCACTCTGCAAAGGGGAAAAGAAGCCCTGCAGTGGGAAGTGCAAGAAAGGGAAGTGCAAATCTTCGGGGAAGCAGAGCAAGGAAAGCTCAGACCATGAACATAGGACATCAGAACATGAGAATACTGAGGTACAGCCAAAATCCTTGAGGCCTTATTTTATTTGGAGCACTGTTTGACTTCTGCTTATTCTGGAGCAAGGGGAGAAGAGAGCTGAGATCCCATGGCAATAGCAAGTAGTATGAGCCATCTGAAAGAAGGACCAAAGAATTAGTGATGGACCCAAGCTCGATGGTATTTGTGTGATGAGGGAGCCTTGCTCCTGGCTGGGGACAGATGCTTCAGAGAGCCAGGTTGGGTTCTCAGCAGAGCCTTTGCCTTGTCCCAAGGCCAGGGGGACTATTCAGTTCTGTGTGAGTCATTAACCTGCTTCCACTTCAACCCAGTGAAGCTCAGCTGCTCTGCCTGAATCCAAGGGTTTTCCAAAGGCAGCTGGGGCGTATTACCTGAGCAAGCCCTGTATGTCCTTTGTGTGTGTCTGCCTATAATAATTTCTCTCTTCTGGAGTGTTGACTGATTGCAGATTTTGACTAAGAAATCCTCTCTATTGCTCTCCAGTGCAAGACCCGAGCTGCTATGGCACATTAATCTTCTCTTGAGCCATTTACTGTGGGTTGGATGTTATTGCTGGGTTGAATTTTATAGGAAAGTAAGTGCTTCTTCTGGCTGGTTTTGGGAGTGCTGGCTGCTGCAGGGCAGGAGGAATAAGTCTTGCTGTCAGCAAAGCACTTGGGTTTAAAGGAGTTCAGGGTTCCATATCCATCCTACAGGTGTTTGGTAGGCTATTGCTTGTTTTCAGTGGTCTTTACTGATGAGGAGAGCTCATTTCACTGGTTAGCTTAGTCATACATTTAACAGTGAGATAAATTCTTATTTTTTTCTCTGCTCTCTCCCACAGGCAGAGGAATTGTTTGAAACCAGTAGTGAGGAGGAAGCTGGAGGCACAGATTCTGTCGTTGATGTTGAAGATCTTGGCAATATCATGGGCCACATGAAGAAAGCAAAGGTATTCTTGTCACGGGGGAATGGAATGGTCAGGTCTTGGTCACTGAGCAGCTGGACTGATTAAAATGTAACTGGCTGGATTTGAATCTGTAGGGTTTGGTTAGAGGGAGAGTAAATATGATCTATTGAAAAACCTATCCCCAAAGAGAACATCTTTGGAGGTATGTTGGGTGTAGTCACAGACTGACTCTGGCTTGCTCAGCAAGCACGTACTGCAGTGGTAATCTGTGGCTTCCAGTCTGAGGGAAGATTTATTTGCAGAGCTAACACTGGATCTGGCTGCAAATCTGTGCACTGAGATTTGCAGTCCAGTGCCTGAGCACAGGTCCTGCTCCTGTACTGCCTGTGGTTTGTCACTGAAATGCAGGTGTGTGAGGACAGGGGCAGAGCTGCAGGTGCAGCAGGAGCTGCCAGAGCACCTTGCCTTGCTCACTGCTGCCCTAGGGTGAGGTCTGTGCTTCAGACACTGGGCCTGTCACAGTCCCAGTTCCTGCTCCATCCCAGGCTCTTGCTGGCTCTGTTCCCAGTGGTTCTTTTGGTGTCCCTTTCCTGTGCTCAGTCTGAGCTGGGATGTGTCACACTCAGCTCACTCACACAAAGGACTAGGGACAGGGAGCAGCTGCAGGGCCTTGCTGTGCTCCCTGCTCTCTGCTGGCTGAGCAGTTGTTGCTCAGGGTGGAGGTGGCCTGTGATGTGCTCTGAGCCCATCTGCTGACTCCCTTTGCTCTCAATGACCTTTGCATGGTGCTCTCATTGCTCGTGCACCCTTGAGCTGCTGTCCATGCCCTTTTCACCAAACTGACCTCTCTGTAATTACACCTTCCTTACCTTGGATGCATCTGCACTGTGGGGCTTCTCACAGCTCTTTCCAAAATGAGGCCCTGGCGCAGGGTGCCCAGAGCAGCTGTGGCTGCCCCTGGATCCCTGGCAGTGCCCAAGGCCAGGCTAGACAGGGCTTGGAGCAGCCTGGGACAGTGGAAGGTGTCCCTGCCTGTGGAAGGGATGTGGAATGAGATGATCTCTGAGGTTCCTGCCAATCCAAACTGCTCTGTGACAATGAAAATACAACAATGTTCCTGGTCTGAGCTGAGGTGGCACTGCTGGGTTACCAGAAGCCAGGCCGTGGCTCACAGGAGGATGTGTGCTTGGAGGGCAGGAGCTTGCAAGGGGAGCAGGGGGATCTCTGTTCCTCTCCTTAGGGAGGGGAAGGAGGTAAATCAAATGCTGTTTGTCACCAGTTCTGTGAGGAGAGGAGCCCCAGTGATGGGGCAAGGTCGGCTGCTGTGGGAGGGCTCTGTCCCGGAGCCGGGATGGGCGTGTGCGCTGCAGCTCGGGAGGGAAGGCTGGGGAACCTTCTGGCTTCCCTTCGGAGGGAGAAAGGACGGCAGGTCCTCATGGAGAGCATTGTTGCTGTCTCCTGTCTCATACGCTCACCACTAGAGGTCAGCGGCCAAAAGGGAACCGCGGGTGCTGCAGCAGCTCCTGGGCGGTGCTTCAGCCCTGCCAGGGCAGTGGTGACAGCCAGCGGTCGTGTGAAGAATTGGGCATTGAGCTTTCCCTGACTTGAGAGAATATCGGGACTGACATCATCATCGGGAGCAGTGTAATCCAGGAAAACCACATATCATAGGCCAGTTTACATATAAAAAGTGAGCACAGCCATAAAATACTTCCTGCTGTTTGCTGGAAGAAGTCAGTGCTGAGGTCAGTGTGGTATGGATTTGTGCACAGGCAGGGAAACTTCACTGCTGTCTGTGCCTTCTGAGGCAGGATCCACTCTGCTTTCTCCTCAGCCTTCCTGGTGCCCTGCTGGAGCAGGGAGAGGCTTGGGTTGGGTGTGCTTGTGTTCTGCAGTAGCTGTGACTGTGCAGATCGGGTTGCTGTGGCTGTGACCCAAGTGACCAGCCTGGTCAGAGGGGCAGCTGCTGTCTGAGCACAGACATTGACCTGGAACCTGCAGCTGTTGATCCTTTGAGCCTTTTCCTTGGAGAAGCTGGCAGAGCTGCTCTTCTGTGAGAGTTGAACACTGCCCTCCTGCAGAGGATTAAATCCTGAAGGGGCAAGTGTTGGTGTGGACATGAGAGCTCACTCTGAGTGTGCATGAGGGCACCTCTATTGAAGTCCCATGCCCTTTCTAGGCTCTGAGTCTGCACTGAGAGGTTTCCTGTACCAGGTGAGTCCTTCTGCCTTTGGCCATTTTAGCTATTTTCCCCCTCCTGGAATGCTGAACTGTGTGAAATGAGTGTGACACTGTTGTTTTACCCTGAGCTAACTTGTTGTCCTGTAGGACTCCTTGCCCTCACAGCCACGTACTCTGGGCTTTGGGATGTGAACTAGTCACACACAGGTGAGCAAGTTGGGGTATCTTGGGTATCTTCAGGGTTTTATCACAGACAGTTCTTCCTCCTCAGAGTTCCTTGGGTCTGGAATCTTCCTGACACTCTCCAGCAGGAGTTCTATGGGTGTCAGTATTGGGTATTCACCCCTGTGCCTATGGGATGTGGAACAGCAGGTTCTGCCTTGTGCATTGTAGTTAATTTGAAATGGTTCAGGGTCCAGCTTTCATCTCTTCTGCATGGATTGGCTCTTATGAGACTCACTAACAGGTAAGGCTGCTGTGCAGGCACAGATAGTCAGGATTCCTTATTGTTCTGCCTTTCCTGGGATGGCAGAGTGAGGCTGTGGAGGTGATGGGATCTAATAAATGCTTGCTCACATATCTACAGGTCATCTTAATTTAATTTCACATCTATCTTTTGTTGTTTGCCTTGACGAAAATCAAGGCTGAGATTTGTCATACAGTTTTCTCCCCCATATTCCGCAGGTTTGTAAGGTATTGTCAAAGGGCTTGAAGCAGGTACTGATATCCTGCAGCCTCTTGGACCAGATGGATTCAGGAGTTCCAGGGGAATGCCAGAGCCTCTCTGCCAGGCTGAATTATAGCTATTACAGACTAAGAGAAGAGATGGATTTTTAGAGAGCTGCTGAGTGTGAGGTTATACAATTCATGGTGATGGTGCCTTCTGCACACTGAGTCTGAGCCCAAACTGACAAAAGGTTGGGTAGATATTGGTGATATATTCAAGTATATTAACTGGTAGCTCATCCAACAGCAAATTCCACATGAGTTTACCAAATCTCATAATATGTGCTGATGGTTTTTAATGCATTTGAGAACGAGGTGGACTTTGAAGTTTTGCAGTTGTGGCACACTTTGGCTGTCCTCCAGAGTTCCTCCCCTGATGGGGCTTTGTCAGGGAAAGTGAACTCTGATGGTGTTTGTGGCCTGCAAGGTGCCATTAATCACAGGCACACGAGTTCTTAGTATGAATTATCTCCCCAGCTGGGAGATCAGTTGAAAGGACAGATCTATCTACACTCATTCCCAGGGAATGGAATGACTTTATTAACCTTCACATTTATGAACTTCAGGCATGAGTAATAGCAATAATAATGTCCTGATTCCTTGTTTGATGGGTTTGGAAGCAATCAAATGAGCATATTTTGTTGATGCAATTTTGAGATTAATGCTCGTGTTTTCTACAACAAGGAGTGTAATGATACTGACAGGTTCATTTGCAATGTAAAGGGAGGGGGAGCACACTGAGAGTTTTCAGGAACCAAACCCTGCCCCAGAGAGTTCAGTTTGTGTCCCTCTGTATCCCTGAGCCCCTCTGGCACTGTTCCCTGAAAAGTCACCCTGATTTAGCCTGTGTAAATCCTACCCCTTGCAGTGTTTCCTGGGAGCCCTTGCAGCCTGGGACTGCTATGGAAGCCCAAACCTTGCAGGCCCTGGGTGAAGGAACTCTTAAGGAAGCTGGGTTTGAGTGGGGCAGTGGGCAATGAGGTATTTAAGGCCTAAGGTTTACAGACCAAGGGTCATATGCAACTTTGTGCTACAGCTGGGAACTTTTTAAAGGAGGAAAGAGTAGTCAGTGATGCATTAACCAAATGAAACAAAATATGGGTGTGTAATTTTCAGTTCAAACTGATGTGGACAATTCCAAAAGCTTCAGCTTTTAGTGGGTGAAGGATTCCTTTATGAAAAATGTGCCCTTATCTGCAGCAGCTGCTCTGAGCCAAATTCTGACCTGTGCTGCTCTGACTCAGAATTCAATGAGCCTACATTTTAAAATGAACTTTAAGAAATTTAATTTAACTTCTTGGGGACTACTTCTGTCATTAACAGCAGGATTTGCCATAGGGACACTTCACCCTTCTTCTTTCCTGAGTTCAAATCTTTTTTCTCTAAACCCTGACTAATGGAAAGGATTACAATTACTAAACAAAATTGCAGGAGATCTTAAGGCTTTTTCTGAGTAAGGCTTGTGAGTGATAAAAGGGGAAAAAAACCCCCAAAATAACCTTAATGTAACCTGTGTCTGGATGTGTAGTCTGTATCGTGTGGTGTGGCAGTGGCTTCCTTGGCAAAGGCATTTGAGAGCTCTGAGTATTTATTTGCAGCCTTTTCCTGACCATGTCCTTTGGTGGAGATAGTCAGGACTGAACCTGCAGCAGCCCAGCCCTCCTGCTCAACATTTCTCACCAGCTTTGTGCTCCATTTCTCTGGTGGTTTTCTTTTTGCTGTGCATTTTTTAAGTTTCCTGCCTGTCTAATAACAGATTTGAGAAGACTTCCCCAAATTATACAAATCAATGCAGTAGAGCCCCTCTGCTCTGGAGCCAGGCTGGAAGAGCTGGGGATGCTCATCTGTAGAAGAGAAGACTCCAGGGAGAGCTCAGAGCCACTTCCAGGGCATAAAGGGACTCCAGGAGAGCTGGAGAGGGACTGGGGACAAAGCATGGAAGGACAGGACACAGGGAATGGCTCCCACTGCCAGAGGGCAGGGATGGATGGGATATTGGGCAGGAATTGTTCCTGTGAGGGTGGGCAGGCCCTGGCACAGGGTGCCCAGAGCAGCTGTGGCTGCCCCTGGATCCCTGGCAGTGCCCAAGGCCAGGCTGGACACTGGGGCTTGGAGCAGCCTGGGACAGTGGGAGG